GCCGGCTCGAGCTGTCTCCCTCCTCTTATCTGCTCAGGCAGATCACATACTCAAACCTCATCAGCGGCCGCGGAGCTCAAGTTAAAGTTCTTGCTCACAAACAACATTTCCAGTGCACACTGGGAGGTCACAAAGAAGCAACTCTGGAGTGACAGCATTCCACTCCCTGTTTGGAAACGCAGACTTTAGATTCCTACACATACTGGCATGGCGTGTCTCTTCTGTGAAATGAAATTAGGTGTTCCTAATACGGAAAACTTGTTGTTGTTGTTGTTTTCGGCAGACTAGCTCAGCAGATTCATCTTGTTGGGAGGGCAGGGGTGGTGGTGATCACTTTGTTGTTTTACTGCTCTGGGGCTTTGCTTGGATCAGCCAAAAAAAAAAAAAAAAAAAGACATGGATAGAAATACTGTCAATCTGGTCCAACTCCAGGAAGCTAATCATGCCTGAATCGCTCGGAGGAGCGTAATGATGGCGAACAGGAGCAGGTACTTTGGCTTCTGTTCCCATCCACCTTGGCCACACTGTCGCCTTCACAACCAAGCAGGATAGGGCTGTGAAGATGCATCCGGTCAATAATAAAAGAGAGGGGCCATAATGGAAGCCCCTTTCCTTGGCAAGAGGTACAGAGGTAATATTTAGTATTCACTACGTTGAATTCTCCAAGCCAGCTGGCGTGTCCCTGTTTAGACTTTCATTTATGCAGCTTGAGCTGGAACCTTTTTGTTCTCCCGGCCTATTACTTTGTCGATTTAAGGGGTAACAGCCAAAGTGAAACAGCTTGCAATTTGCACCTGTCTGCTCCAACCATTCCACGTTAGATTACTGGAGAGCAACCCCTCCACTGTTTCATGAAGACAAGACTGGGGAGGGGTGAATGCAGTTTTGTTGGGCAAGGGTTATAGAATATTTCTAATGTTTTTTATTCATTTCTAACTGACCTGATAATCCTGCCTATTTTCGTGTTTTGGAGTCCCTGGAGTAAAAGAGTATAATTCAAAAAACATACAGTTGGGCATTCTTTAAATAAATGGTTAAATGTCATGTAACTAAGAACTGAATTAATATTCAGCCTGAGTTGCTTCAGATGAAAAAAAATTGTAATTGTAAATTATATCCAAGCTGTCATAAGTGCAAAACATCTACAGAGACTTTTACTTGTAAAATGGACAATGAAAGAAAGTGCATTAAGAAAGTACATTTTAGGCATATTTCAAAAATAGTAGTAGTTTTGGAAATGATATCAAATGCTTGAACATAAACTCCTAGTTTTCTGCCTATATAGCCTTCAAAAAATTAATTTATGGGGGTTAAAATAAAAAGTCTAATATATAAACTTCAAATTTATACCTAGAAACACATAGATATATTTATCCAACCATCATTGTGACTCATGGAATGGATTCTCCACCACTGCAAAAATGTGAGCACCTGCTCTTCACCTCCACCTTTTTTTTTTTTCTAAAGCTTTCTGTATCCACCTTATCTGACTACTCCAGGAATCATATCCACGGGTTACTATCTATTTTAAAAGAATTTAAATAAAACTCACTAAGATGAAAGAACATTAATCATGTCTGATAATATTCCCCACACATTATTTGTGTTCAAAAAAATCATCATAAAGGCACTTGAATAATTAAGCACAATAGTCCTGAAGATGATTCAAGATTTATTAAGATAAAATAAAACAAAAAACAAAACTGTGTTCAGCAAAGATCCATGCTACATTTTGATTCTAAAAATCTCCTTCTTTGGCATGTCCTGTTGAAATAATAACTGATATGATGTGGGTTAAGTGAAGTTGAGGCGGCCGCAAATGCATCTCACTAGCAATGAATATAATTGAATATAGTTGTTGCCCACGTCTTGCCTGACAGATAACATTCCAGCTCGCTTGGCGATGACCCCTTCAGCACGGCTTTAGGAGCTTGGCCACCACTGCCGAGCCTGGTTAGGTCAAGGGTTGAGCCATATGTAATTCAGAACAGAGGAGGTCCCACGTTCACGCCACAAAAACAATTACACTACTTATTTCACTCTAGCCCTTGCCCAAAACTCACAAGCCTCATGGTTTCAGCGCAGTCAATCTAATTCTGCCCCTGGGCGATAAGCCACATGAAAATATGTGGTGCTGTGTTTATAAATCTAATCAAAAATAGAAACAGCGACGGGCACAATGAGGTCCTACTATGGATCATGGGAATCCTTAGAAATTCTGAAGGCACTTTTGTTTAACTTCTACAGACTCTCTTTAGCGCCTACATTATTTGCTGCACTCATTAATCATCCTCTTTACCCAGGAGTGCTACAAAGGAGGCTAAATTTCTACTCACTTCTATACTTTCTGTCCATGGATAATATTATGAAAAATAAAGCTTAAAAGGCTGCTTTTAAAAGAAAATATCAAAGAGGGGCTACTGTTCTATCAATCTTACCTCTCCATCCATGTTCTCAGCTCCTTGCCCTTGGCGATGCACAGATTTAAATCAAGTTCCTCTAAAAAAGAAAAATAATACACTAGAATAAATTGGCCCATCCATAGATATATGAAGCCATTTGGGGTTGGAGAGCTATGATGCTACTTAATGGACTTGAAAATTCTAAGTACAAAGTCAACAAGATTTAATTTGATGTCTTACTTTTCTTGTTTTTGCTTTTGTTTAGCCAGACTCCGAAAAAACTGAGCCTATAAAACATTTTCAAAATGTTCTACACAAGCAGTCTCTACAAAACCTCAGACTTGATTCAGATAACCAAAATTTCCTATTTTACCCAAAAGAGGGCAAATTCAGAGTACTCTGAAGTTATTATGACAACTTGCTGCTGTATAACTTAGGGAGACATATTATGTTTATTTTTTTAAATTATGAACCAGTTTTACAATTGTCATAAATAGATAATATCTGATAAAGTCAATGATAAATACGTATACTTAGGGACCAAGAAGATCAAATCCTGCAAACATTATCCAGCATAGATATGGAATATAAAAGTTTTAATGAAAGGAAATGGAATTTTAACACTCTTCAAACTCCTTAGAGTCATGTGATAAATTATCAAGTTCAATCTGCAAACTACTGTATCTGATATTATTTCAGCTGACAGAAACACTACCCTGGAATACAGTTAGATCCCAGATGATTATAATAAATGAGAAATTTAAAAAATAAACGATGGTCTCAGTACGTATTAAATGATTATAAACATTATAAAAGGAATCTTTTAAACTTGGAATTTGCCCTTTTCAGATAATTGTCCATATTTGACAGCAAAACAGAGCAAATCACTTATGAATGATACATATGGCACTTCTTTTTATTCAGAGCAATCAATTCTATTTTTAAAGCCACTTCACAAAGTGCACATGAGCTTTTAAGTAGCCATCAGTATTGAAAAAAATTAAAGACTTTTATTTTTATAGTGCTAATTCCCCAACTGATATTTTTATGTAAGGGTAACATAAAAGATACAAAGATGATATTGAATGATTATTTCCAAAAATAACAGAGATATGTGTAAAATGACTTGAAAGAAAAAAAAAAAAAAACAGCAACAAAATATGAACCAGTTATAGAAAAGGAAGTTAAGGGCACAGTGACTGGGAAGTAATTCAAAAGCATGTATCTTTGAGAATGTATATGGGTGGAGTGGAAATTGGTTTTATTTCCTTGAATATGGTCTGAATCTAACAATATTTGTCTTTTGAAATTTTTTCAGTTTGTAAAGTCACTCATGTGACTGTGGTCATGAATTTATTTTGGAGACATATAATCCAAAGAAAGGATGTAAAAGTCACACACAGGTTAGCTCTACTAATGTCAATAGGTGCTCAAAAACTTTCAAATAATGCAAATCACTTCTCTCCTTTCATAGAAAGCTGCACTTTAAATATATTTTTGCATGAGCATTCAGAATGTAATGTTAGTACAGTAAGATTCAGTGTAACTGTGATAGAAAACCAAATCTCTCATTACCTCATAAAAACACTAGGAAGCTGAATCAAGAAAGTGGCTGATACAAACCAGCAGTGTCACCTAAAAGCAGCTATCACTACAGGGGACCTGAAACCACCTTTTCCTGATTTTGTGAGCACCGGGTGTGGCCCAGAGTGCTCCTCTACTTAGAAGTCTCCAGAAGTTTAGGTCAGGCAATATTTGCAACAAAGAATTTCAGTCTTCAAGGACCTACTAGCTGGAATTAGGCGACGGTAGCAAGATCTCTCACAATGTGGGAATAGCCACAATGGTGATGAAGAACCAACGGGCCATCTAGAGCCAAAGGAAAATCAGTGCTCATGTGAGCTGGCTTGAGAAATCAGGAGATTCGGGCAAAGTCGGCCTTGATAGAAATATTGATCGCAGACGTATATCCCCAGTGCAGTTCCTGGGAGCTTAATTTGTGTACCTCAGAAGTGAAATAGAGTAGTTCCAGTGTAGAAGACAGCTCCTGAGAGTGAACTGAGTGGAGGGAACAGTGTGAGACTGAGCTCCAGAGGAGCTGGATCTGATGTAGGTGTCCCAGGAAATAGGCAACCAGGGGCCTCAGAATGAACCCTGAGAGGTGGGTGGTTTAGGACTCAAACAGGAAAAGGTAAATAGTGCAAGCGAAGAGAGGTGGTGGAAATGAGAATGAGTTCGCAGAGCAATGAGTACAATTTGCGAGTGAATCGTAATTCCAGTAAGTTAGTGATTAACGGGCATCCGGGCATCCGCCACAGCCTGGAAACAAGGATATCACGTGAGTGACTGGCAGAATACGGAGCCAATCAGAAAACTGGCGCATTCACTAAACCATCTCTAAAACCCGCCTGGTCAAGAAAGGCCAAACTAGCTTTCTTTTTTAAAAGAAAAAGGAAAATAAGTTAAAAAGCAATGTAATTTTTTTTACAAAAGCAAGTTTGTAACTTTTGAGGAACACTGAACTGAGTAAGCTAATGAGAACTACTACAAAATTCTCACTATGGCTATAAGCTTGGACCATGGTGTGGCAGTGTTACCTGGAATGCAAGTGGCCTCCAATAAAGATCATTTTTTAAAAGTCAATCTCAAACATGCTAGCAGGCTGACAACTGCAATGTACCATGCTCACCACATTGTTAAACCCGGGTTAATAATCACCTGAAAATTTGTGCAGTCACTTTCTTGTTTGCTTTATGGCTGATTTTTGAAACGGCTTTCACTGACATTGTTAACCGGTGTATTGCAAATAAAGCCTCGGAATTGCCAAATCTCTGACAATTGGTTCACTGCTTTCAGAGAAGGGAATTTGCATGGCTACAGCTGTCACTCCACGGCATTTCTCTTCTCAAGCAGACCAGCAAGGGCAAAGATGATGTCAGACAGAGGTCACAAGCCTGAGTCGGTCTGTAGACATGTTTTGTTTAAACTCCATGGTGATTTTAAAAATGTTGAGCCAGTAGTTAAAAATAAGAAAATTGCCATTTTTAAAACTCCAACTTCAGCCTCCTCTTGAAAAATTAAAAACTTTGCCAATACAGGGTCCATATTTGTGGTTTGCAACAATTGGGGAAGGGGAGAGTACTGTAGTGTTTTCTAAGTAGTTGTTTTGGTTATTTTTCTCTCTTTGCTGAGACAAAAAACCTGACACCCAAAATTAAGGAAGGAAAGGTTTATTTAGCTTACAGTTTGTGGAGGTTTTAGTCCATACTTGTCTGGTTCCAAGGCAGAGTGGCACATGGCAGAGGGCAAACGTTTATGGCAGCAGAAAACAGCAAACACAACAAGAGCAAAAAAGGGGTGAGAATAAGCCTCTTTTCCTCCCTTATATTGTAAGCAGGCTACCCCCACCCAGGGGGGGTGTAACACTCAGGTAATCTCCTTGCCTTCCTCTTGCACAGGCTCAGGATGAATGCAAAGCAAGCACTCTGGCTCCCTGCTGAATCACATAGTTAACCTTTCAAACTTCTCAAACTGACACAATGAACAACATCGCAGAAGGGTAAGGGCGTGTTCTTTTCATCCCAAGGTGCAGAACTGCCGAGTCACTTAGCCAAGCCTCCAGACTCCCCAAGTTGACACGATGTATCAACCATAACAGGAGCATTCTCTAGACCAGTAATAATGACCCTTGTAGAGCTTTCAGTGATACAAACAGGCCCCTGTGGCACGCCACCCATCAACTTGCCACCACTGTTCTAGGCCAACAGTTCTTACGCTATCGCAGACCACAGATCAAAATGTAAGCCCTGTGAGGACAGGACTTGTTTTATTCATTATTGTAGCCTCAGAGGCTAGAACAGAGCCTGAAAAATAGTGAAAGTTTGCTAAATGTTTAATGTTGAGTGAAGATATCACAAGGCAGACAGGTAATTTTAATGGGTAGCTTCAAGATCATAGTGCATACCTAGAAAGTGTCACAATGCATATTGACATCTATTTTCCAGAGAGAGAGGCCTCGTACATCATTGTGCTTATGTTGCTATATTTCTTATGAAGAAAGACTCCACTCCATTCCTCCAACTATCCAAAGTAGACCAGAAGTGTCAGGGAAAATGAGAGCAAGCACACCTAGTACACTTCACTCATTCATATTTCTCATCTGCCCCTACAGCCATCTGAATTTTAAAGTTCTGAGGCAGAGATGAGAGCAGGCCTGGTAACCGCAATAACAAACTGATTTACCATACTTATTCCTCAACCTGCCTCAAAGTTTCTCCACTACTCTCTAAATCTATGCTGGGAAATAAATAAAAACAAAACTGTAAAATCTACCTTGGAAGGTCACTATCACTCTACATAGTGTCAGAATAGTAGGGCAGGATGAACTTGTATGTATGTTTAGGAAAGCACTGGCTCAAATCTGAACATGGGGAAGTCAACTCTAAAAATCTCTGGTTGTTCTGAAGGATAGTTCAGAAAAATTTTAAATTGTGATATATCCTATTTCCAGCTTCCACTTGGGGTACTTAAAGCTGGAAAAGGCATTGCTTCCAAATGGAGAGCAAAACAAACTCCTAAAAAATCTGCAAACTCCCACCTGGGATTAGACTTTCATCAAAAAGCCAAGGTCACAAGGTACATTTTATGTCAAATCTAGGCAAATTTAGGTACATCTGAAGAGTGACAGGATGCAGTCAGCTGCTTATCAGAGTAGACAGGAGGACCCTTGTAAGCCAGAAAGAACTCAGTCAAAAATTGTTAACAAATTTCTAATTCTGAATGTGACTTCTATGGTAGGTAAGTGTTCCCTAAAGGTCTCATACTAAAAGTTGGTCTCTGGCCTACGGTGTTAGTGGAAGATAATGGAACTTTTAAGAGATGGGGCCCAGTGGGAGGAGGTGTCACTGGGGATGTCCTTACAGCGGACTGTGGGACCTTGGCCCCTTCCTCTCTCTTTGCTCCCTGATTGTTACGAGGTAAGCAGCTTTGCTCCTCCATGATATTTTGCTCTCTATAGGTTCAAAGCAATGGAAGCACCTGATTATAATCATGGAAACTACAAGCCAAATAAACCTGTCTGCCTTCCTCATCCCCCTTT